AGTGTATTACATCGAACATATGCCTTCATGGTTTAAGAGAAAAGAGTCAACATTCATCATTACCGAGCTGTTTTTTTTTTTCTTCTTTTCCCTAATATCAGTGACTTTACGGAATCTAACTTGACAAAGGCTGATCTTGTTTCGGATTTCAGTGTCAGCACAGTGGCACACAGCACACCGTCCGAGCTAGACGGGGCAGCAGCAGGACAAGAATTCAGCAGAACTTTCAAGAATTCGCCGCCAGCACTAATACGCAATACATGGAAGACGCGTGTGTCCTCTTCACAAAGGGTCACGAGAGGGCAGTTGGCTTTTGGCCCGCAGGAATAATGAATTGACATTTTTTTTTCGAGCCATAAAATTAACATCACTCGATGAGCGCTTCCATGAATTATTTTTGGTGCCTCTTCAATTGCTTTTGCCCTTTCATTTCCACCAAATTCAGCCCCTGTTGAAAAGGTTGACTGTCCATACTTCCAAAACATTTTTTTTTCTTTCTTGATATTGTGTTAAGGGTAACAAAGGTAAAGGCAAGCAGTGGATCCAAAAGCGAATGGCAAGAAAGATAAGAGTAGGGCCGAGTGGTCCGTGGAGGAAAACGCGGAGCCAGGCTGGGCAGGGAGGCAATCAGTGCTCGCCAAATTACCTCTGTTTAGAATCGACTGCCAAAAATGATCAATCCCGGATCCAATTCAGTTGTGAGCAAAATAGTCCCAACAGTTTAACATCACCGCTTCTTAATGCACAATTGTGTGGACGACGACGGTTGTTCATTAGCGACGCGGCATGCTGCGAGGGCCGACTTTGTCACCGAAGCCTACAAAGTCGGACTGTACATGGATGTCAATGCCTCACTCCGCTTTTATTTTGAAGTTGGGAGCAATCCTTGCGACGGCTGACTTGACATCGAATTAAGGCTGCATAGCGTGCCCGCAGCCAAGATGACTGACTGAGCGTCTCGATTCTCGTGCGCAAAAGCGCATTCCTCCACTTGCAGCGCCCACCGGCGCACCACTAATGTGCTTATTTGTTGCTAAAACACTCATGGAAACATTTTGAAGCAATAAGCGTTTAAAATAACAACAGTGGTGACTGTTGCCCTCATATGTCATTTGGACATTTCATAATTAGCCAGTGAAAGCCAGTTCGGTTGCTTGAAACTGATTTTCACATCACCACATTCTGGTTTCCTTTAGGCGTCCCTTCGCATCTGAAACTTTTCACAATCAAGGGTGCGCATGTGACGCATATGTTTTTTCAGCCACGGTTTATGTCTGGGCCCGATGATCTCTTCCGCCCCCTAACCATCTCCATGTTGTTGTTTTATTTTTTTCATCTGCTGAGATAATGAGGACAAGATATGCCCCGACAGAATGCAGACTAGAGGCTCGACATATAAATGCCCTCGTAGTGTAGAAGTACATGTTGCTCCCTTGAGTGCAGATGGCGCGCGTTCGACGCCCAGCCAGTCCCAAGCCTGGATAAGAACCAGTTGAGGAAAGGCACCTGGCATCAAATCAGTGGCAAATAATGCAAGTGACTGTGGTGATCCCCATTGAGACAACAACTCTCAGCAGATGAATAAAATTACTCTTTTGGCCGATAATTGACTTTCATTGAAATCGGTGCCTTTGGGACACACGTGAATGACGTGACATCATCTTTGGCAGACGTATCCGTCAAAGGACGACATCAACGAGCCATCACTCCATGAGCCCAAAACATTTCTACCTCCTCCCTCCTCGATGGAATTTCTGATGGGACATGCTAGCGTGTAAACTGAGGAGCGAGGAGCTCGGAACGTAAATTAAAAGAATGAGATCAGTCCACTCGACGCAACCCCGGCAACTATATTCAGACCGGCGAACAAACACGCGAGACACGCGGCGCGCGTTTCCGTCAGCTGTCAGCAAAATGCCAGTCTCTCAGTGACGGACTGACAAGGTCCGTCGGTACTGACTTGATGTGGGAGCTTGTTCGTCTCTATGTGTGCCCTGCGACTAGCTGGCCACTAACAGTCTCCTTGGAAAGGCCCCAGCACCCCCTGGTTACCTTGTACAAGATAAACTGATGTAAAAAATGACATGACATCAATTTCACAACGCTTCCCAAATGTTCAACAGATGCACGGGCTGTGACGCAAGACACGTTTTCCTTTTTGGCTCCCTCTTTGATTTTTTTTTTTGGGCCCAAATCTGTTTTCACAGTGATGTGTTATTATTGAATTTCTTCAAATCAGTCAACCGCAAATTCTTTTGACTGTGTTTAAGCATAGCACATGCCTTTTCTTCGCTAATTGTTCATCAGGAAAACAGTCAAGCATTCAAGTGAGTTTGATCTTACAACATCTTGTTGAAATTTGATATCAGCCGGCAAGAATTGGCTTGGGAAAAAGCCCGCATTTACAACTGAAGTCGAACTTTGAGTCAACATTGTTCAGAAAAAAAAAATGTCATACCTAAAATTGAAGAAAGAAGGTTGGCCAATTTGAACATGATGCAAACTGCACAGTGCACACGAATCCCCAATGGCAGCAGACAGATGAATCCAACGAATCCAGAGGCGTGGTGGCCATCTGGAATTTCGAGAGTTTCCCGAATGGCCTGTCCACTTCCTGGCCGCTGCAACCCAACCCCTTTGCCTGTCACCGAATAGAAATCAAATACAAATCATCATATGTTGGCGGGCAACATCCATCCCGCCCCGCCGATGGACTAATCTCCCACCCCGCTTCCATTGACTGATACAAACATTCCCGGGGTGAATTTTGCTCCCCCTCAAATTGCCTCCAAGGGGTATTAAAAAAATAATAATTTTGCATTTCCAACATGAATCTGAAACTGCCTTTTAAAACTTTTTCAGGGTGAGAACGCTACGATTCGCTTTCAACATGCAGAAATCTACCAGCGATGTTATCACCTTTCATGTGAACAGACAGTACAGCAGAGAGGATGCAGCCAAGAGAGCGCGTGTTTTTCTGCGGCGCTCATTGCGGCTGAGGCTGTTCGTTCCACATAAAAAAAAAATAAATAAAAAAAAAAAGTTTGATTTTTGTCATGGCTGGCCATGAAACCTTACAAATTATCTATGTCACGGCATAAACTACAGCATAGCTATGAGCTAAAAAAGCTGTGGCCATGCTGGAGTTTTGAGCTGCTCCCGTAGTCAATTTAAGGAGATCAAGATGGTGAACGTGACTTTTGGTTGGGAACATGGCTGGGCTGTCGTGCGGGCTGGGCTGTTTTCACGTTAATCAACATTTACATACTTTTCATGTCTGTTGAGCATGCCACGCAGAGAGGCGTGACAATTGGAACCCCTTTTAGAAGATAGAAATATGTGTCAACGTCCAACATGCAAACATGATGGCCAGTGGTTCCGCTGTTGAGAGTCTAATCTGAAGGAACTGCGCGCAGGATGAACCAGAACATTGATTCACTGGCTTGGGAAAAAGCCCGCATCTACAACTGAAGTCGAACTTTGAGTCGACATTGTTCAGAAAAAAAAAAATGTCATACCTAAAATTGAAGAAAGAAGGTTGGCCAATTTGAACATGATGCAAACTGCACACGAATCCCCGATGGCAGCAGACAGATGAATCCAACGAATCCACAGGCGTGGTGGCCATCTGGAATTTTGAGAGTTTCCCGAATGGCCCGTCCACTTCCTGGCCGCTGCAACCCAACCCCTTTGCCTGTCACCGAATAGAAATCAAATACAAATCATCATATGTTGGCGGGCAACATCCATCCCGCCCCGCCGATGGACTAATCTCCCACCCCGCTTCCATTGACTGATACAAACATTCCCGGGGTGAATTTTGCTCCCCCTCAAATTGCCTCCAAGGGGTATTAAAAAAAAAATAATAATAATAATTTTGCATTTCCAACATGAATGTGAAACTGCCTTTTAAAACTTTTTCAGGGTGAGAACGCTACGATTCGCTTTCAACATGCAGAAATCTACCAGCGATGTTATCACCTTTCATGTGAACAGACAGTACAGCAGAGAGGATGCAGCCAAGAGAGCGCGTGTTTTTCTGCGGCGCTCATTGCGGCTGAGGCTGTTCGTTCCACATAAAAAAAAAA